GTGGTGTATTTTCGCGAATCAACCGTTTTTCGCGAATCAACCGTCCTAACCCTCTACGAAGTAGTGGGTCAGATGCGATTATGTAGCTCCTGACGAGTACCATGTAAGCGCCATCATGTGCATACATACAATATCCGTACCTCTATGTATTACAGTTCTAAGAGGTATACATATGAAAGCAGTCATTATACAGGAATTTAGGAATGAACTTCTGCATTCAGACGCTATGACGAAGACGTATACCAATCACGCTCCCCAGCGCTTCTTGCGACCTTATAAGTTATATATCGGCCATAATGAACTCTGTTCTTCAACAATCGCGTTGAGTCACAGCCCAGATGCTGAGAATTCCAGCCATGAGTTAAGAACCAGGTCCCACTCCTTTACCAATATGCAGTACTCCGTACCGTAGCTTGGTCGTTCCCCTCCTTCAGACTCTAATGTACTGACTCAATCAGTCTAGGCCAGGCTGTACTGCTCGACAATGGGCAACTGAACTGGTGTAAATGGGCCGTCGGCCTGGCCTGAAACAGCTACAAGAGGATCTTTATTTCATGTTATGATTCCATTGGGTATCTAAGGTATCCCTTCTGCCAGGTTCCTTAGCCAGGTCAAGCCCAGTATCGCGCCAAAGCACCTCTTTATGTATCAGACTTGCAGGCCAACGAACAACGGGGTCTAACATTTGATGCACTCCAGTTCTGCTAGCTCCCGCTCCTGGCACCCGCTCCTGGCACCCGCTCTTTGGGCAGGACAAAATCCAGACATAACCCAGCCAGCGCCCAGTTATAACACCGTCACCCCTCAATTCCCCCTTTACTCCAACCCCTGACCCTATCCTGGTCACTCGTCTCCCATATCCTCCTCCGGAGCTCTCTGTATACTGCCTTCTCACCGGCATCCGTACACGCAGCCTCTCTTGCCTCGAGCCAGTTCACGATCCCGAATCTGGTCGTCAGCGTGGTGCTGCCCCCGTCAATGCTTGTAGCACGATACAGCATTCTCAGCAGCTGTGTCCTCAGCGGCAGCCTCATGTACGGATTGGCCGCTAGAGTAAGGATGCGCTCAAAGAGAGGACCCTTTGCACGCTTCTTGTGGAACAACTCAAGGTCGCCCGGCGTCCGCAGCCCGTCGATGAGATATGACAGGAGCCAGCTGATTTGCGTGTAGTATGCATCGCCAACCACGGGGTCCTCCGACAGAATCTCGTCCACGAGCGGTAGCCTGTCCAGACTCCAGAACGGTCCGTGTAAGAGAAAGGCATTTACCTTGGGGTAAAGGCTTGAGAGGGGGTCGCGCAAGACCTTGAGCGCGTGGCAAGCAAACGCCACGATTGGGCTAGGCAGCGGCCCGTCGTGTATCTTGTCTCTGGCTGTCTCACCGAGCTCTGAAAGTAGCAGCCACACTTGCTCTTTCTCTTCGTATTCGGATTGTTTTATCTTGGTAGCGGCTTTGAGAATGTTGACCAGTGCTTCCTTCCTTATGCTGGTATGCTCTGAGACAAGCAACGCGACGAGGGATGTAACGTAGCCTTCGTCAACGAGCTCATCTGCCGTTTTCGAAGACCACCTCATCAATGCCGAATGGTCCGCTTCCAAGCCGTCAGGCAGGGAAAGCATGCCCTTCAAGGCTTCCGCATCCATGAATACCTCCGCTCTCATCCCCCCTTCAGGTTCAGTTGCTAAATCCCTGATTGCCCTAGGTCGAGGCTCTTCAGCTGGCGGCCAGGGATGGTATGTGAACTGCAACCCGTCGGGAATCCCCCGCTTGGCTAGTTTGCCCTTGTTGTCGACAAGGTGTACAGCCATCTTGGAGAAAACGAAGCCTAGAAGTGGCCGGCTCTCTCGTGCCGTTGCCGAGAAACCCAGGTATTTGGGCAGGAAGATGCCAAGAGCCCTCAGCACCGCCTGTCCCTCCGGCTTTGTTGCAAGGAACGGTAATTGCTCCAGCATAGCAATGGTAACAGCACTGACGACAACACTTTCAGAAACGTCCTGACTGGCAGTTTCCGTAACCTCTTGTCTCATCTCCTGCATCTTCTCCACGTATTTGAGAGGCGCGTTTGCGCACCGCGTTAAGCAGTTATCTAAGAACGCCCAGACATGATCGGCTGAATCAGGATGTGTCTGCCGTAGTGTTTGTAACGCTTCGAGGAGAACGACCAGGCCAGGGTGACCGTCATGGGCGGGTACTAATTGTTGCTCTACAGCCACGAAGTTGAGCACCTCCCGTATTGTACCCAGTACGACTCCGTAGGGAGCCTCAACGCAGACCTTAAGTAGCATTGTGAAAGGAGAGAGCGACAAGCCCTCCGATGCGGCAAACCAACGCATGCCAGGGGAACACCCAGCAATTGCAAGCAAATTCTCCAGCTCCTTTAAGCTAAGCGCAACGTCTCGTGGATCCCCCACCTCTTGCTTTGACAAACGGCCGAGAGAGGTCTCTAGGAGTGGCGAGACATCAAATTTGGCCATGAGGGCAACCTGGGGTAAGACTTCGTAGCACAGGCGCAAAAGCCTGCTTGCTGCCTCGCGATGCAGAACGTCGCCCTCTGGTATTGCCCGGTACGCGTTGATCATGTCCTGGACGCCAGGGCTCCGCTGGCAAAATTCATCGACCAGCCTGCGCGCAGCCTCTGCCCAAACAGTCTTATAGGAGTGGGAAGGGTCTTGGTGCATTTTGATCGCAGCGTCAAGCTTCTCTATTGCCACTACCAGAATCCGCGTAGCAAAAAATGAAATCATGCTGGACTTCTGCGCCAGGCTCCGGGCTAGTGCCTTCTGGTTTAGGGGAGGCGGTAGGATATTGTCGATAACGATCGACGTCGGTGGGGGGAGCTCGGCAAAGCTGGATGCACGACAGAAATGGTCTGGAATGGGCAGCGTGACTGTATTGAACAGAAACGCGGCATAGCCTATCCATGTCGCTGACAGCTTTGGTTCAAAAGTGAAGGACTTGTTGCTGAGAAAATAGTGGGCGACCAGCTCAGGGGCAACCCTAAAAACGGATGTGATAAGTTCACTCTGCTTGACGCTGGACCACGGACGAAGATTTGGCAGGAAGTTGGCCAGGGTATAATTTCGAACGGGGACCTCTGCTTTGAAACTGTTCATCCAGACGATCGATTCCAGCCCCAAGTCTTCCAGCTCAACGGTCGGCACGGGAGCATTCGGATCGGTTCCCCGTGGGTAGAACCCAGAGTCCTGTCTTAGGACACCACAAGCGGGATTTGTGCACGCCGTCATCAGAAATTCGTGGGCAATGTCGGCAATAGACTGCTCATCGTCAGCGGGAGCATCTGAGCGATATTGGTAGAGAGCCGAGAGCCGAACGAGCGTCGATGTAGTCAGCAAGCTCGCCTTGGCCTCCCGTGGCACTTTTTCGTCCAGTAAAACGTGGTTACGCAATCCGCTAAGAAGCTCCCTGAGCAGATATGGGGGATCTTGCTTGACATCCCGTGTAAGAGCGGCAACAATGTCCCTCTGAGAAAGCAGCTCTTTCTTTGCCTCGGGCTGGAGAAACTTGATAGCAGCAAGGAAGAAGAGAATAGCATTGGTGCGAGCAGAAGGGCGTTTGGTATCCTCGGCCTCATCTCCTATGTGGACAATGCCTATATTCCGTGCCAAGGATTTAAGAGTGAACCCCCTGGCTCGGAACAATGGCCTTGCAATGGCGCCTCCATCAAAGCTCACGGCCTCCTTCAACATGCGCAGGGTGGGAGAAATGATGAAGGCCTTGCCCTTGTCAGCGGAGAGATTCCGGGCAACCAATTCCAGCTGCCGTTTCTGCAGCAGGGTCCTGCAGATGCCCAGGCCGTAGGGAACCGTGTCGAGGGATTGCGACAGTAGCTTCAGGAGTAGGGCGAGCACAACCGGGACTGCGGACATGAGGTTGTCGTTGTTGGTTTGACCCGCGTAGCTCCATGTCTGCATAATGTCGGGGAGGTAGACAAGGTTTTCGTCACCGTCGCTGTCGGCGGGCTTTGCCGACTGCAGATAGCCCTTCAGGATTTGGATCCGGTCTCCGTTGGGGGGGTCTGAGCTGAGCAATTCGTCTAGAAAGAGCTTGAATGATTGCAATCCTGTGTTTGTTTTTCAGGTTAACCACTCATACCACGCATATTGGAGAATAAAATGACGGACGTCTGAACGCGGGAGACACACACCATGGCGCGCCCGGGCCGGGTCTTGGGTAGGGGCCAGCAGCTGCTGCAGTTGTCTGCTTGCGTGCACCTCCTCAGATGTTGGCGCTTCATGGACCACCTTTTGCTTTTTCCGCGGCGCACCAAGCCCATCCGGGCCACGAGAAAACCGCTTCCCCATTGCGCGCTGCCCAATTTGCTGCTGAACTCTCGCAACCTGCTTTGAGTCGGGAATCAGGGAGGTACCGAGAATTGGGAAATTCGCCCATTTTGCAGCGTTTTACCGCCTTTCTTATCGCAGCTTGGCAGGGCGATAAGTCATCTGAACCCCGCTATCGGCGATATCATTACCGTAATTCCACTATGTAATTACAAAGTAAACACTCGGGGACTCAACTGGATGCATCTTGCACCGACCAAGCGATTGTAAAGCAACTTGTAAGAAGCTGAGGGACGATTTGCCTACTTCTACCTGTCCTCTATGCACACCTTGCTCTATGGAGTAACTCAGAAACTAAGCCTATATTCTCACAAATCTGAAATACCTAAGCACCTTCTCGAACCAAACCTTGGCTTTGGTTAAACCTTTGCCCTGTATACCTATATCAAGCAATGACTCAAACGACAAACGACAAGAAGAAGTTACCGATGCAGTCAGTGTTCTAGATCCTGAACTGCGAAGTAACATTGGATGACGTAAATTTACGAGTACCGGTATTGTACATTTCAGATTTTAGCCTAGCCTTCCAATCTCAAATCAACCTGGACCCTTGTGACTTGAGTCTTGTATGCAGAGTCATACATCCAATAGAGGTTTCGCTGTTTTGCTGAATTCTGGCATTCCCTCTTCAACCCCAACTGTCACTTTTATCATTTCAAATGAGCACCAATAATACGTAATATTGCTATCAATTGGTCCTGATCAGATCCATTTTAGCTTCTGAGGACCGACATCATACCCAGTTTTCGTTGTTGGCGCGGACTGAAGAGCGGTGTCATCCAGCGAACCAGACACTTGGAGCCGGTCAGACTCTCTCACAATACATAGACGCACTTTTTAATTCCACCTCAGCGTGGCTGCGAAGCCAAACATGGCATCCAGCCTGCTGAGCCAGCCAATCTCGACAAAGAAGAAAAAATCATCGGCCGCCAATCCCAGCAGCAATCATGACATCCAATCAGCCCTCGCCGCCTCCTTTCGCTCAGCCTCGCCGCTGGCACAGGAGATGCTAGCGCGAGACCTGGCCGCTTGCCCGGACGAAGAAGAGGACGACGATGCGCTTCAGGACTCCGAGGCTCTGGAGGAAGCCGACGATGGCGAGGACGATGAAGACGACGTCACGCCGGGCCCAACGCTGTATCGTCGGCCGAGCGGCATAGCGTTTGGCGCCACCCGGCCGGCGCTCGCCGGGCCGGGCGGGTTGCTTGACGAGATACCCGTGCTCACGCGATCCGAGCGGGTGCGGAGCCGGGACGCGGAGCGGTCTCTGCTCCGAGACAACCACATCCTCCCGCCCAAGCACAAGCACCGCCCGCCGGAAAAGGGCCTTGCCGGCCGGGCCGCGGCGCTGTACAGGTGGCTGTTCAGCACCAAGGTGCGGCTGCCGAGCGGCGATGAGGAGACTCCCGGGGCTGGTGCTCCACCCCCGATCGTGGTCGTCCCGGACGAGACGGCGCCGCTGCTGGGGGATGGGGTGCGCGAGCATCTCAACGAGCAGTGGGAGGCTGCTGTGGCCGCGGGCCAGATCCGCACGACGTGGCAGCGCGAAGCAAAGACCATTGCCATCTACTCGCGCTCGCTGATTGTCACCTTTTTGCTCCAGTATTCGCTCAATGTGACCTCCATCTTTGCCGTCGGCAAGCTGGGCACGCTCCAGCTCGGGGCCGTCACGCTGGCTACCATGACAGCCAACATAACCTTCTACGCCCCCGTCCAGGGGTTGGCGACTGCGCTAGATACACTATGTGCGCAGGCGTTTGGCTCCGGACACAAGCATCTGGTAGGGCTACAGCTGCAGAGGATGACATACTTTTTAATGTTGCTGCTGATCCCCGTGGCCGTGGTATGGCTCAATGCTGAGCGGATCCTGGTGGCTCTCATGATCGAAAGGGACAGCGCCGCGCTTGCGGCGACGTATCTGCGCATCATCCTCCTGGGCGCGCCTGCGTATGCCGCCTTTGAAGGGGGGAAGAGGTTTGTTCAAGCGCAGGGCCTATTCCATGCAACTACCTATGTGCTGTTGGTGGCTGCGCCCGCCAACATCTTGATGAACTGGCTGTTTGTGTGGAAGTTTGGCTGGGGATTCCAGGGGGCGCCGCTGGCGGTCGCAGTCACGCAAAATATGCTACCCTTGCTTCTGTTTCTTTACGTCTGGAAGGTGGATGGCTCTCAGGCTTGGGGCGGTTTCAGGAAAGCCGCATTGAGCAACTGGGGCCCTATGATCGCGCTCGCGTTGCCCGGCATGATCATGGTGGTGGCAGAGTGGTTTGCCTTTGAGATACTCACGCTGGCATCGGGGAGACTAGGGGTCATGACATTGGCGGCGCAGAGCGTCCTGGTGACGGTCACGTCTACCACCTTCCAAATCCCGTTCCCCATGTCCATCGCTGGCTCGACACGAGTGGCCAACCTCATCGGGGCTAGGCTAGTCGATGCCGCCAAAACATCGGCCAAAGTGGTGAGTCTGTCACTTGTCGTATCATCCGAGAAGCAATCAAGCTGATGGCGAAAGCAGACCGTCGCGGGCGGTATAATCGTGGGTCTGTTTAATGTGACGGTGCTGGCCGTCTTTCGGTATCACATACCACTGCTGTTCACCCACGATAGGGAGGTCATCGATCTTGTAGCGCAGGTGCTCCCGGTCTGCGCTGTCATGCAGCTTTTTGACGGCATGGCGGCCGTGTCGCATGGGCTGCTGCGCGGTATCGGGCGACAGGAGTTTGGAGGGTATGCCAACCTTGTCTGCTACTACCTAGTCGCATTGCCCATATCGTTTGGCCTTGGATTCGGTCTAGGATGGGGGCTGACTGGCCTGTGGGTTGGCGTTACGGTCGGGCTGTCACTGTGAGTCTCCTCTTTGCTTGCTTCCTAGATGGCAGCGTTCGTTAACAGCACTGCAGTGTGGGACTTGTCGAGTACTGGTTCATGTGGCGATTTGACTGGCACCAAGCAGCCGAAGAAGCCGAGCACAGGAATGCTTCAGGATAACCGGATAGATTGGACGGGGCCCTTCCGGTTTTCGACGGGATGAAACACAGTTGCTTGGGTTGAGCATGTCTGTTCGGAAAAAGTGCATATACGATATGGATATCGCGAGAAAGGTCGGGTACGGATAGGCCGTAGTTAGACTGCGATGCTTTTCTGAGGCACGGTTCAGGGTTTCAGAACACCAAATTCAGCGTGTTGCGCTCCAATCTCCATGTGTATCCAGATTGCTCGTCATGCTAAAGATGATCTGACATGCAGTGTGCATGTTTTTGTTCCTCTTTGCCCTGTCGAAATCGACAACTGCAACCCACTGCTGAATGGTGATTGCTCCTTCCCCGCGGTTCCCGAAGTGGCTCCAAGAAGTCCCCGACAGTCTGGCAACCGCGCCCCACCATCCCCGGGAAAGTCCGTGCTTCGGCCGCTACCCGTATCGGAAATAGTACCTAGAACAGGCTCGGGCTCGGCAAAGGAGCTAGGGGCAAACAAAACATAAAATCCACCGAATCTTTGTTGCCCCTCCCTCCCCATATCCTCAAGAAGGGGTCTGCCTCACTCACCCGCTTTGTCGAGCTTTTCTCCGTCACAGCCCCCAAGAGATTTGCGGAAACAGCATCAGCACCATGTCTGCCACTATAACGGAGACGCGCACTACAGCGATTACGGCCGAGAACATTCTCCGCCTCTTCCCCGATATCGACACTAGCGGGGAGGCGCTCGAGGGCCACGATGCGGAGCAAATCCGCTTGATGGACGAGGTGTGCATCGTGACGGATGAGAATGACATGCCAATCGGTACCGCCAGCAAGAAGCTCTGTAAGTTGTGCCCGTGCCCAGCTTTTTTAGGGGACGCTTCCCAAACGATTGCCTTTCGCGCTGACCGTGGGGAACACCATAACGACAGGCCACCTCATGACCAATATCAACAAGGGTCTCCTCCACCGCGCCTTTTCGGTCTTCCTGTTCAACGACAAGAACGAGTTGCTCCTGCAGCAGCGTGCGTCGGAAAAGATCACCTTCCCAGACATGTGGACAAACACGTGCTGCTCGCATCCCCTGCACGTGTCCAACGAGACCGGGTCAAACCTCCCCGATGCCATCCTCGGCGTCAAGCATGCCGCGCAGCGAAAGCTGGACCATGAGCTTGGGATCAAGAAGGAGCAGGTGCCGCTGGAAAAGTTCCATTTCTTGACTCGCATCCACTACAAGGCCCCGAGCGACGGCAAATGGGGCGAGCATGAGAGTGAGTAGCAGACACAGCTGGCCGGTTTTGCGCTCCTGACTGCTAATGTGCTATGTCCTCAGTCGATTACATCCTCTTCATCAAGGCCAATGTCGATCTCAAGCCCAACGAGAACGAGGTCCAGGCCACTCAATATGTCTCTGCCGAAGGCCTGAAGAAGCTGTTCAAGGACCCAAGCCTGAAGTATACACCCTGGTTCAAGCTCATCTGCGAGTCAATGCTGTTTGAGTGGTGGGAGCACCTCGATTCGGGCCTCGAAAAGTACGAGAACGAGCAGCACATCCGACGCATGCTCTGAGGCCTTCGCGTGGTTGATTCAACATAGCCATTGGCATTATGAAACGCAATTCGAGGTGTTGACCTAGACGGGTCTAATTTTCCCTCTATTTCTTATTTCCGTTTATTTTTGGTTTGTCTTTGGGCTCCGATGATATCCACATATTCAGTCTCGTCGAGAGGTAAGCCGCGGCGCAGAGCCCATTGCTTCCTGTTATAGCAGCCTGCATACACCGGGGTTTGGAGAGTTAATGGTTAGGCACATCCTCAGTATAGAGCGGGGAGTTGATCAAAAGACGCAATATCTCTTACAACTCCGACAGGCTACCGCCAGAGATGTCAGCAAGCAGCGTGATGTCATGGTATGTAAAGAGTTGTGGCATTTACTGAGCGGAACGCTTTGGGCCCAGATTGCCGTTTTCACTGCAGTGTCGGACTTCCGAATCACACAGCAGCAGACGAATGCGCACAAGGGATAGGAACTAATAACAACATTCTAGCAGGGCGATCTATCAGGCTCTCAAAAGGAAAGATTGAGAAATATGATCCGAGCCGCGCTTAGCACGCTTATCATCTCTCACACACACTACGCCCCGAGTTTCTTTATTAGTGTAGATGACGCACCATCTCTTTCACGCCAGCAAGCCTGAGATACACTACATGTATCTCGCAGTGGCGGCGTCACCTGATCGCCTTGCATATTCCCCCCATGTGCCCGGGGCGCACTCCGTGAATGGATCTGGCTTGTTGTCGGGTATGACAACAGTCATCTCAATTGGACACGTGTGATTGGGAAAGAACCTTGTTTCTTGCAGCTACACGTTCTCTACCCTACATTCAGAGCGGGGTGTACAAAGGGAGGTTGCACATTGGATGCGCGGTTGGCGCTGGCCCGGTTGGCGGAATCCCGGAACGGGGCTGGGCAACCCCCACTACGGCGGACCCCGGCGCCGAATGCCGTCGCTTTCCTTCTACCCTACCCACTTTTATCTGCAGTGGTCCGAGACTGAAGGTTGCCGGCCAATCGAGGCCGTCGTCCTGAGCCTGCGGTCTCTCATAGCACCCCCTGTCAGCCAAATCGCTGACCGAGACATTGGCATGGGCATGGGCATGGGCCTTGTCTGTCTGTCTGTGCCCAAGGCTGGTTGGGGGTTGTGTGTGTGAGGCGAGATCGTGGCTTTCGTGCTCGCTCTCTGGACCGAATGGGCGTGCTTGGATTCCGTTCCATGATTCCCATCCCACTCAGGCCCCGTTATGTACTGTACATACAGTGCATACACCGGTCTCTTCCAGTCTAACATGCCTACGGAAATTGTTAGGCCCGATGTGGTCTACTTATTCCTCGCAGCCCTCTCCCTTCTTCCCGCCTTCCTTTGTCTTCCAGACAGCAGCCCACGCCTCAGATTGGATACACCGGTACTACCTGTCGCCTCACCGCTCAAGCAGTCACCCCCACTCAGGGGGTTGTCTCTCTCCAAGGGCACATTTGCCTGCTGCTGCTGCTGCTGCTGTTCAATCGGCACCCGCACCCGCTTACAAAACCATCCTCCTCAACACCAACAGGGCCCCGACTGAGTCTGCTAGCTGCCTACCACCCTCCCAGGCACAACCTCGTCGACGGTGTTGTGTGACCAGACAACTCTTGTGTCGAGTAACTGTCGACCCTGATTCCTCCCACAACATCACAACCTAGTCGCCAAAGGAACCAACCACGCAAGGCAATATTGATGTCTGCTGACCTCCGAACCTCGCTCAACTGTCTGCGTCATCCGTCCAGGTTCATGCCCGTCTCGAGAACACAACTTTCGAGGGTCCATACGGGTGATAGTATACAGAATATATCAAGTACAAGTACATAAAGTGCGTCGAGCCCGTCCCCCCCGATATGTATACGTGAACGCCCCTGTGACCCTGACCTCGTTCAGTAGGGGAGATTGATTGGCCCAGCATGGCGTCGTCGTCCGTAAGCAGAAGCAGTACCGCGAGTAGTAGTACTGTGACAGTCGTGTCGCTCAAGAAACCGTCGCTGGTGCCGCCCAAGTGGAAAGAAACTGTGCGTGTCGTCGGCATGTCAGATTGTAGGGAGGCGGCGCTGACCCTGGCACACGCCTTTGCTGCTGATGATTACGCCCAGTACCTCGTTGACTCCGGCGACATGCACGGTAACGGTGATAATAACACCACCTCGGCCGAGGACAAGTGGAAGCTGCATGTCGACATCCTGACCTACACGGTGGCCGCCCACTGCATGAGCGGCCTCGTGACGGCCGTCGGTCCAGAGTGTGACAGCGTGGCACTTTGGTGCGTAAATAACTGTAGAGTGATTCCAAAGTGTTGAAACGTGAAGCTTACCAATCCGGACCCCTTTCAGGATACCGCCCGGCAAAAGCCTGGACGGATGGTGGACTCTGCTCCGGAGCGGTATGTGGAGACTCTACTTCCAGCTCTCACCCGAGGGGAAGAAGCGCTACTTCCAGGAGATCCTGCCTCTGCTGCACGACACCAAGGCCGCGGTCCTCGGAGAGCGGGACAATGACTCCTGGTACCTGGTCTATCTGGGAACCAAGCCCAACTCGCAGGGCCGCGGCTATGCTGCCAGGCTGCTGCAGCACATGCTGGAGCGGGTGAGTTTTGGTTTCCTATCCCCTGTTCCTGAAAGGCAAGTTGCTGACGAAGGCGCCTCGACAAACAGGCCGATGCTGAGGGCCGGCCCGTGTACCTCGAGTCGAGCTCGCAAGCTAACAATGCCTACTATGCGAAGTTTGGCTTCGAGGTCAAGCGGGATGTCTTCCTCGAGCGCGGACCCGCCCCGGTTCGACTGTCAATCATGGTTCGTGAGCCCCGAGTGCCCGGTCGCAAGCTTGTTTATGCTGTCCCGACGTCGAGCCAAATGGTGAAGAAACTTGCCGGTGGCAAGAACATGATAGCCTGAGAGATCGGGTGGCCCAAGACCAGGCGCTTTTTGAGATTGAGTGACTCTTTTGCTTTATGCTTTTGGTTTTTGCTTGCTTCTCTGGTTCGGTCGATCAACTCGACGTGACGTGTGGGCTCGTTGCTGCATTCAACATGCGGAGGTCTATTTCTGGCAGCTCGAGTGCCCTGTCCTTCTCTTTCATGGCCGTATCCGCGGCTTCCGGGCTAATCTTTAGGGGTGATGTTTATCAAGCACATAGTGCCGCTAGCTAGCAACTTTGCTGTACTCAGACATTTCTGTCAGTCATGCACTGTCATAATTTGTGGCACACTGGAAAGGCCGTCCTTTTTCCCACTGTAACCCGTATCCTTAACACGACCAAACCCATAAGAGGTAACAAGCAATAAAATGCGGCACACAACCGGCGCCATGGTATAGTGTCGTCAGATCCGCCTCTCCTTGCCCTCAACGTCTATCCCAACAGCGTCCCATCCCAGCAAGCAAGCCACAACCAACCCGGATCAGTAGTCCAGGATGGCAAATGTTTCGTCGTCCACCGTGTTGTACAACGCGCCTTGCCCCATCAGCTCATCCACAGCGCTCAGCACGTCCCTAATCGACATGCCCATGCCGCTCGCAATAAAGTTAATATGCAAGCCCTCGTTGCCGCCAGGCGAATTCGCCATAAAGTTGAACACGTTCTTGGCGTTTTTCGAGCATGCCGCCACGGCGGCCATGGAACCCGAGCCGAACCCTCCCGCATTGCCACCAGCGCCGGTGCCGCCGCCACCATACCCAGCCTGGTCGACAAACATGGCATCCCCTCCCGCAGCATTGCCGCCTCCGCCTTGCTGTTGCCCAGGCGGCCCGCCCTTGGTCAAACACAGGTGGACATACGTAGCCTCAAGCATGTGGTAGTTGACCTCGTTGAAATCCGTGACGGCGCGGATGCAGTGGGCGCCGACGTGCTTGCGGCCGTTGAAGGAGGTGAGACGGCCCCAGACGCGCACGTACGTGTCCGGGGCGAAGCGCGGGTCCGTGTGGTCCGGGTCGTCGGCCTTCTCGGCGTCGACCCATTTCTTTACGTCGATGACGCCCGTCCCGTCGTCGATCCGGTATGTCACGTTGGTCGTCTGCGGGTTGACGCTCCGCACCTGCCCCACGAGTGTCACCTGTGTCACCGGCAGGCCGTCGATAGCTAGGTCTGCTCCTGGGTATGCTTCCTTGCAGTCGACGAGCTGTTTGATGGTTACTGGCCGGAGGGAGTCGTCCGCGTGGCTCTGTTGGGGGAAGACGAATCGGGGAGGTTAGTGAATAGAGCCATGGTTATGAGTGTTAATGGTTTATTCTTCCGTACCTTTGTCGCGCCGCCCTGGCTGCCTTGTTGTTGTGATCCGCCCATGAAGCCACCACCCTCTTCGCCGCCTTGGGCGCCATAGCCTGTTCGTGTGTAGCCACCGTACGATGCTGCAATGGATGATTGTTAGAAATGAGACTTGAAACGCAAGGTAATATCAAGCTGCGTGTTACATACCCATGCTGGCTGTCGATATAGGTATAATGTTGTGTTTTGTTTGGTGTGAGTTCTGGCTGGCTGCAAGGACGAGACGGTCTGCGGGGTGTGAGATGGAAATGGGGAGACGCGTAGCGACGCGTGCTCAGCTGCAACCACTTTTTGTAGCGGGGTCAAAGGACTCAAGATCAACCCTAGGGATCCTGGTTAGTGGGGCGTAGTGTAACTGCCGTTGCTGCAATGTGGAGCTGTGCCATGCAGCTCAACTCAACCGTGACCTGAAGCCTGAACGAGAGCACTGCGAAGGAAATACCGGTATCATACAGCTTTCTCAATAGACGCACCGTGATATTCTGACAACCATCATCAGCCGTGAAATACGCACCCTGTTCCTTTCAGTCCTTCCAACACCATATCTCTATCTCGTAACCAAAGTTACCAAACGTTCAAGTTCAAGCTCCCAAAAATGCCACCTCCACCCCCAGAACCCGAGATAGACGCAGAAGACGGGACAACGTCATGCTGCGCACCACTAACTCCCCTCCGCCAGCCAGTTGATGTTGCCGAGATGAGAGAGTACGCTAAGTCTTCCCTTCCTGTATACCAGTCCGAGTAGCTGAGTAGACTCACATCTAACTTCTTCAACTCACTCATTCCCCCTTTATAGCCGTGGACTCCTCACCAATGCGTTCTGCCTCCCACCCCTATTCGGCCCGCTGCTGTTGGACAATGAACAGAGCGACTGCCGGGACCACTGCACCAACGAACGAAGTACGACCACTCCTACCACTTCCTAGAATTATCTGCGACTTTCCTCTACTCCCGATCCTTAGCAATCTACCAACAAAAAACCCAGGTAGCTAGCCATCGACCTAGTCATCATAGCTAACAAGGGGCAGCCTTCCTCTCCTACCTGCGCCTCTCCATCTACATGTCCATCGTCGCGGTAGCCATTGTGCTCTCTTTCCACCTGCGCAAGACGGCCTCCGACATTGAGTTGCGCATGGCCAAGCCGCTCGGGGCTATCTTCTGGGCGCTCTCGGTGTGCTGTTTGGGTGTAGGGGTGGCTAACTACACCAGTAATCCCTTACCTAGTTACCAGTTACTCTAGTAGTATCTCCGTTTTGTCCATTAGTGACTGACTTGAGTTCGTATTTTTAGGAACCATCAACCAGTATAGCCGCCGAGCAGCGATTGTGCAGAGCGGGTGGAGGACGCAAGCCGTGAGTTGGGTCCCACGCTCTGATGATTTGATTCCCCTTGCTATCACCGAGTTGCTTGGAGCGGTTGAGGTATTGACCGACTTGAACGTCGGCTGACTGACGTCTCCATTTGTGCAGGTCATGGCAGCGATAGCGCTGTGTATTGTTGGGTCGTGTGTGACGCTCTTGGTTATCAACAAACTGAACGAGAATGCCGATGTATGATTCGGCATCCCGTCCATGATATTTTCGCTTCAACGTACTAGATATGTACAGTACACCTGGGAAATCCAGATCCCCTAGTCCTGAGCTGCTTCCGTGAATATGGACATATCGTACAAGAAAACCAGTAGAACACAGGGCGATACGACGCGGCCGACCCGACAAGAAAACCATACCATACAGCATCCCACAACTGGTAACCTAATCCTTCATAATTCATCTTTCAAGCAGAACAAATCCGCCATAGTTGTCTTCGGCACGAGGTCCTCGGGCCTCAGCGCTTCGCATCCCCCCACCGCACTTCTGAATGCACTCGCGTACCCGGCAGCGACATTGTCCAGATCGTGGAGGTCGCTTGACCTTCCATCCCAAAGCAAAAGCGGCATCCGGTTGAACGGGGGCAACGTGCCGCCGCCCGGTAGGCTGTCGAGAAATGCGCCCGGGGAGAGCGCCGGCTCGCGGCGGCCCTCGGGCGCATCCAACTCCAGCTCCCCCTCGTATTCTTCGGGCGGCCTGAAGAGCTCGTTGTGGACTGTGGCGAGATTCCTTGCTATGGCTTCGCTCGGGTAGAGCGTCCAGTATCCGCGCGCTCGGCAGAGCTTCAGGGCGTGTTCGAGCCAGGAGGGATACCTCTTGCTAACGAGCTTTTCGGTGAAAAAGGTTGACAGAGGTTTCGTGCGGTGCTCGAACTCGAGCAGGCGGGAAACTAGGGCGTGCAGCTCGACCCATTTCTGCCCCGTGAAGAGCGCAGCGTTGCTGTTAGGGGCCTGCCAGAGAAAAGGGGTTGTTGCGTCAGTATTGGCGGCTGATGATTCCGCTAATTCTTCGCTTGATGGGGCTTTGAACGGAGTCGCAGCGTCCAAGAGAGTCGAAGGCAGATCGAGACTTATACCGAGCAGTCTTGAGTCCCACTCCTGCAGTCGCGCAGAACTGGAATACAGATACTCCAAAGCGGCGTATTTGAGGTCTAACCAGCTGTTGTCAGCGCACCGGGATATGATGCCATCAACATATACCACATACAGTGGAAGAATAGGTGTGACAACTGGGCCTGGGGTGACAGAACCAGTACATGAGAGTACGATGGGTTGGTTGGCCAGAAGGACTCCAGAAACCTGACTGAGCTTTCATCCTCTGTGGCTCTGCCGCGTGATATCCGGTGTCTGAGGGTGAGATGCCGAGAATTGGAAGGATTATGATAGCGACGTGGGGGCCACTGAAATGTCTTTAGAAACTCCGCAGTGGCGCGGTCGACGTCGTGGGGCAACTCAATGGTCAGATGGGGAACGGAGCCGGCTGAGAAGTCAGCGGCTGAAAGTGCCTTCAGCAACTGCATAAGACCTCCCGAGGCACCGGGAAGTGCGTGTATCAATATGTCAATGCTGATCTTATCCCATGCTGTCATTGCCGTTAGCAGAGACACCCCGGGCCTACAACAAGGAGGTCTTCTTACCGGCCAGCGAAGACGAGTCCAGCTTTGTTATCCAACCCAGCCGCGAATGGGCATCTTCGGGCAGTTCAATCACAGGAATGCCAGAAACCTGCGCCTGTTTTCTAATGCCTGGGATGAAATAGTCTTCCTCTAGTCCTGAAGCATCGACAAGCGTGGCTTGGGGGTGCATGAAGTTGTGGATGTGGTCTGCGAGTTTGTCAGTACCCCGAGAATACACACTCTAGGATACTTGACTCACACAGAGCACGGTCGACGCTACTTCGTAGGCGCAAAGGGGTAGAAATGGCCGCGAAGTCCGGTCGAGCATCTGCCATCACAGGGTCAGCGCAAAGGAAAATAAAGAAAAAACAGCTTGCCTCGAGCACAAAGACCCTTCAATGGGTGGCAGCACCATACCATGGAATATGACGAGGCAAGAGTCGTCCAGCCCATTAACGGCACGAAGTTCTGCCAGGTCAATATCACTCCCGCCCATCAGCGCAAAATGCACGTAGCTCCTCCGCTCGGCGCCCATGCGGCAGGCTACCGGCAGCAGCGCAGCAGCACTCTTGAGAGTTGCCGCAGCAAAGAGCACGTTCTTGTTGGAAGGATAGGTCCCCATGGTATCGCCGATGGCTTGCAGTGTGGCGCGAAGTTTCGGGAATACGAGGGGTCCATCGTAACTAGAGGTCGCGGGCGCCGCAGGCTCTTCGGCAGGACGAGAAGGAGGACGAGGAGGGACCGGCTTTTGAGATGTCCGATCAGGCTCCAATTTCGGCATGGGTCCGGGGGGAGCTAGCTTGCCTCCTGCATGTTCCGGCCGGTAGATGGGATGGCGGCGGTCCCGGATGGGGACGTCACCCGGCAAATTGACGACGAAGAGATAGACGAACATGCCGAGCGCGAGAGCTACGGCGACCCGCTTCAGCGTTTTGCGCTGTGGAGGGCCCCATGGCGCCCGGATCGGTGGGATCTTTGTCGGTTTGCGGTCGTCATCCTTCTTGCCCAGCTCCTCGTTGCTGAGAAACATGGACGCCATGCTGCCCTTCAACCGCATCTGGTCCGAGAAGCACACGACACCTGGTGGGTTTTCCTCAAGGATTCAAGGAACGTCGCACGAGGACAATCTCACACTGCGCAAGCAGCAGCTCGCTTGTGAGAAAGCTGATAGGCCGTCATTGGGTAGAGGTCGCGGCTACTAAGCTAGGCATGTGCTGTTTCGAATTGTCCGCGTCACGACAGCGCGATCGTGGGGTTTAGATCGGTCGTCGGAATTCGTGCGGGACTCGGTGGGGTCGAAGGCTAAGCATAACGTTCCACACAGTGTCCTCAAGGTTGGCTCGAGGCCCATGCTCCAGAGCTCCATCAATCAGAAACCCCCTGTTTAGCAGGTTGCACGCGCTGAGGGGCGCGCTAAGGACCCTTGCCGATGGGGTAACGCTGTAGGCTGCAAACGCCAGGACAAAGTAGGTCCCAGGGGGTAGTAAGGTGCCCTCCACGCGCGCAATAGTCAGTAAGCTAGTAAGCCAGCCCAACAGTCAGTTCAATCTTGAAGCCGTAGAATAGGCCCAAAAAACGCGTTTTCTAAGGTTTTCTTCGAATACGTTCAATTCTATGATATTTAAAGCCTTAGTCAGCTGCCCTTAGTCAGCGGCCTATGCAACGCACCTATATACAACATCTACAATACGACTACACACCTGCCCTGCTTACTAGCTGCCCTCTCGTTGCCTACGATAGTCAAATATACTAATAATCGCTAGGAGGGCTAGGCCTTTGTAATATTTAAAGCTAGGAGGAGTCTAAAAGAGATTGCAAGCATAGTGTCATGAAATGACCGTACTGACAGCTGGGCGTAGGCGCCGTCGCAGCGCGGGAAGCCGTGATGACCAATCGTTTAAGTAACCAATAGGAAAAGGATCACGTTTGGCGTAGTAATCCAGGTATAAGGAATCACCAACAACAATGAAAGGCTCACAGTGAGCCTGGTGAGCATCACAAGGAAGGATCACGGGGAAGGGAGTGATCCTCAAAGACAATCATTAGTATATTAGATGGATAGTCTCTTCCGTTGGAGGACCTCCTGAAGGTTCTCCAGTAAGCAATGCAAGCAGTTGTCTTTACTACTGTGTGAACACTTGCTTGTGCACTTG